GCCCGCGGTGCCCTTGAGGCTCCTTGCGGTTGGTAACGGGGGAGGCGGGGCGGGATGTGACCCACCCAGCTCCTCCTGTGACCGGTCCCGGGCACCCCCAGTCGCACCCCAAACCCCAATCTCCATTCCCGATCCCGCAGCATCTCCCTGGAACGGAAGGGAGGCCCCCAGTACCGGGGTCGTCACGGCGGGTGGGGCATGRAGGTGCCCCTCCCCCAAGGTCAGGTGTTTCCCACCTGGATCTATCCCTGTCCAAGCTTTTTCTGGGTCTCAGGTGCTTCCCACATTCCCAGGGGTGTCCCAGGCTGGTTTCCTGGTTGAGTTCTGCTCACTGTTGAACCCCCATCCGAGACAGCTCTGAGGGTCTTGAGGCTCCCAGATCCCAAATCCTGTGGGATTCCCAGAACGGCTCTGCTCTTCCCTTTGTGGTGGGGATGGATGGAGGGGTTGGGGRAAGCTGCAGCCATCCCAGGGGTCTCACACACCACCCCTACCACAGAAAAAGATTGGTGGTGGTTCTCTTTGTACTGGATTTTCATGGAATTACACATTTCCAGGCCATCCTGTGAGCAGCATCCCACCTCCATCCTTTTCATCCTCATTAAAGCTGTTCAGTTGATTAATTAATTATTCCACTCTCTGGTCAGAGATACCCTACAGGAAGCTCCCACCATCCAAAAATACATGATTTCTCCTCAAAAAAAGAGAAGGAAATAGTTTTTCAAGCTTTTCCCTGTCATATCCTTAAAACCTCCAGGTTTTCCTTACCCAGGACTGCAATTGCCTCCCCCCGCCCCCAAAACCAGCCGGGGTGGGGGGAATCTGCCATCCCTGGGGGGTTCCCAGACCYTCCTGGTTCCACCCACATGGGTTTTTCCTGGAAAATGCTGTGGTTTTGCCGGGAAAGGTCCCAGATCCAGCGGTGGAGCTGCATGAGGGCAGCAGCTCCTCCTGGAAGGAGGGGGAATTGTGGATCAAAACCCACCTKCAGGGAAATATCCCAGCTTGGTTTTCCAGGAGGGTCACAGCGTGTCCCTGGGTGTGTCCCTGCAGGGCATGGCTTTCCTGGTGGGAATAAAGGGGGCTGGGGGAGTGGCTTGGTGGCTCCTGTCCAATCCTGATGTCCCAGCCCAGAGCCCCATGTCCTGTCCCACCCCGGTATCTCCTGTCCCTATCCCAGTTCTCCTGTCTAGCTCCTCATATCCCATCCCAGTGTCCTGTCCCAGTGGCTCCTGTCCCATCCCAGTGCCCTRTRTCCCATCMTGTGTCCCATCGTGTCRCTTCCTGTCCCCTCYTGGCTCCCCCTGTCCCACCTGCGGTCCCATCCCAGTTCTTCTTGTCCTGTCCTGGTGCCCCATGCCCTTCCTGGTTCCTCCTGTCCCATCCTGGTGGTTCCTTTCCCACTCCGTGTCCCACCCTGATACCCTCACAGCCCATTCCAGCCCCTTGTGTCCTCTCAGTGCTGTGTCCCATCCAGTGTCCTATCCTGTGTCCCCTCCCAGTGACTGGTGTCACATCTCAGTGGTTCCTGTCCCCTCTTGGCTCCTGCTGTTCCATCTC